TCTTAGTGTGTGTAAAAGTACTTTTACTTTCCCAATTTTTGTGAGTACTTTTTTCATCAGTGAAATTATTTTTTTATTAAAGTCATTTTCTGTTCATGTAATTTTACTTTTACTTAGTTATTTTCAAGTACTTTATCGACMTCTGCCAACGGTCATATGATAAATTTGCTGATGAATGCAGTCGTTGACCAAGCCTGCAATTCTGTTAGATTATAATCTTCCTTCTCTGCTCCGTCATGAATTTCTTCAGTAGAATTTTAACCGGGCCAGTCAGTGAACAGAAGGAGGAATTGCGAACGATGACGTTGATTTTCTGTGCTGTCGTAATCTGCTTGTACAGTAGATTAGCAGTGGCAGCGGAGAAAGTGAATGAAGCCACTCTATGGGCACAAATTTTAGTCTAATAGAATTTGTACTTGTAAATCTGACTTTGTATTTGTAGATTAAGATTTGTAAGTTTTGGATTTGTAAATAGGAATGTGTCTGTGTAAAATAGATTTGTATCTGTAAAAATAAAATTTGTATCTGTAAAAATAAAATTTGTATCTGTAAAAATAAGACTTGTATCTGTAAAAATAAGATTTGCATCTGTAAAATATTTACACAAGTTACAATCTTTTTTGTTAAGGTCTGTTTACAGGTACAAAGCAAACAGCTACATGTAAATCTCTCTGCTCAAGTTCAAAACTTACATGTGAGTTTCACTTTACAAGTACGAATTCTGACCAAGTTTTTCTGCCTCCAGCTGATTGGTCAATGTCTTGTCAATCATAVATTTAACATCCAATCAGAGAACAGATGGGTTTGGCTGTCGTGTCTGCACATCTACTCAGATATATACCTGTGTTGGGTTGCTATTGGATCATTTCAGTCACGTGACCCCCGCTACAGCCCGTCCAGAGAAACTCTGTTCATTTTTCAGTAATTTGTTCACCCATCCATGGAAGGAGTAACAACAATATGAGGAATAATAAGAGGAAAGATGAGGACTTCTTCTGCCTGGCACCTTTTTTTAAACTTCCACGTGCAGGTAAAGAAAAAGTAATTATTTCTTATTTAAATTTTTAGCTTATAAATGTTTCCAGTTTATCTCGTTCCCTCCGCTCCTAGCTTAATGTCATGAGCACATGTTGTCAGTTGAAACTGAAGCACAGGGTAAGATG